GCTCAGCCTTCCCGGCCTCCAGCTCACCCTGCAGCGGAATTCACAACAGTGACCACCAGCAAGAGTAGCAGAAAAGCTACTGAGTGAAGCCAAGCCTAGATGACAGAATTGTGGGCAAATAAAATTGTTTAAGCTACTAAGATTTGGGGCAGTTTATTAGCAGCAATAGATACACTAAAAAAATGACCCCTAGAATTCCAGCCTGAGAACCCAGAAGGATGGAATTACCTTTAACCAGAGGCTGCTAGTTAACAAGTTTGAGGGAAAAATGGGTGGAAAGATAAAAATTTTACTACTTCTAAAAGGAAAAGAGCACCTTTTTCCTAATATTTTAGAAAGACAAGATCTTCTACTTCTTAAGCATGGCTGGATTTCCCAAGGCCAAGAAGGGCCATTTTAGGAATAACTCTTTGGCTGTCCCCACATCACAGTGATAGCACTGGCTGAAGAAATTGTTTAGATTTTTTTTTTCTTCCCAGCATCTGAAGCTCTGATGACAGTCAGTGAAATCCCCATTGCAGTTCAAAGCAGAGAAACCCTTGCCCTGTTTTTCTGGCTTTGCCACTGTGGTTCCAAGGCTTCAGCGACTGTGCCACGTGAAGGAGAAACCACCACGCCTGCTCTCCCTCCCGCTTCCCACAGATGGTCACCGTGAACCACAGTGGGCTTGGCTGATGGGCTCTGGGAAGCTGAGCACACAGGCTTAGAGGGTGGCCCTTGCCAGTTTTAGATTTAATCCTTCCTGTGGCCATATACTTTACAGACGGCAGCACGTGGGAAAAGAAAAACTGCCTGGCCTCTGTGGGTCTCTGATGATGGACATCTGGGTTAATAATATCTTGTGCACTTGAACCCAAATTATGTTGTGGAAAGGTAGTGTGTTCCTTAAGAGTTTCGTAACGTCCAAAAATAAATATTAATGTTAAAGGATTACTTTGTCAGCCTCCCACTCACTCATTTTCGCCTGAAGATGCCACTACATTTACCCAGCCACATCCCCTTCCCCTGCTTTATCGGCTTTGGGGGAGGTTGTAGAAACAAATTCATCATACAAGGACTCATTTCTTCTGGGCTCAGCCTTTTCTTGGACCAGTGTTCCTGGGAAGGAGGAATGGCTTCATCCACAGACCCTTTGTAGGTCCTCCGGCTCATGACCAACCACGGCAGCCCTTGGGATGGATAGGAGTCTGGGCTTCCTGGTACAAAGGGGTTCACAACACTGAGCAAGTTGGGATTTATGTCAGAGCAAATGTTCATAAACATTTTAAGAAAAGTGTTAGGAGGCATTTAAGAGAAAATAACCATAAGGTTATATTATGAATATCCAGGCTTGAGAGATGGCACTCTGGAAATGGGTGCCATAAGGTTGTTACAGCATGGCCAGCATGGAGATCTGCTCACGGCACAGGGACACTGGCAGACACTGTTTTAGTCTCTGCGAATCTCTTAAAGTCATGACATGCCTTTGGCTGTGGTTTCTTCCAACTACCATTAACACAATTCCAGGTCCTTACTGTAAGGTGTCCATCAATCCTCAATGGACTGCTGTTCTTCAGCTTTGATTTATTTACCAGCTCTTTAGAAGCATTCACCTGTCCCCAGCCTGTCAACATCGATTTAGTTGTAAACTTCCTTGCACTTCTGTAATATCTCCAGCCTCATCACTGGGAGAAAGCCCATCAGGCGTTACAGATGAAAATGGTTCACCAGGGGCACGAGGCAGGAAGACCCCAGCGTGGCGCACAAGCACAATGGCCAGTCTACCCTCTCCACAGGGGAGGGCATAAAGGCTTGCCGAAGCCTCGTGGCCAAAAATACAGTCAAATGTTGAATAACTTGGGTTTGAACTGCATAGGTCCACTTACATGTGGATTTTTTTCAATAAATATATTGGAAAAAATTTTGGAGATTTGTGACAATTTGAAAAAAATATTTTTCTAGCTTATTGTAAGAAAACAGTATATAATACATATAACATACCAAATATGTTGATAACTGTTTATGTCATTGGTAAGGCTTCCTGTCAATGGCAGACCATTAGTAGTTTGTGTCTGGGGAATCAGAAGTTACATGAGGATTTCTGAATGTGGCTGGTGGGGTGTCAGTGCCCCTAACTCTCATGTTGTACAAGGTTTAACTATATATGGAACCGAATGTCTCTTGGGTTCAAGTCCCACAGAAGGAACCCTGAGACCAGAAGTCAAGCACAAGTAGTTCATCTGAGAAATGATTCCAGGAACACAGAGAGGGGAGTCCCAAGGGGATGGGGCAGGGAAGAAAGCCAGTACAAGGAATACTAACAAGTCAATGACCACAGAGGGCCACTGCGACTTAACTCCTGTGGAGAACCTCCCCAAACCAGAAAAACACATGCCTCAGAATTATAGCAGCCAGGAAACAGAGGAGCTAGGGTATTTAGACACCAACTTCTATCCATTGCTTGTGGAGAACTGCTTCTGGGGACTGCTGATTCTTTGGTACTTCTGGCCTGCGTTGAGGGAACAGAGCAGCTTTCCACTGTCCCAGATCATAGAACCCAGGCACAGAGGTGCAAACAGTAGCATTTAAAATTGTCTGGGGCATTGAAATGGAGGATCTCTGGGCAGTGCCAATGGTCTGCTCTAGGACTCCCGCTAAGCTGGCTTTCCTTGCTCTGCTCGTCAGACCTTCCTGCAGTGCTCCTTCATGGACCTGCAGCCCGGAAAAGTGGATGCTGACCGCTCTTCAGTACTGTGACAGACTTCCGCAAGAGTTTTAGGATCAAATATATGTACTGAACAGCATTAGCTGAAGCAGCAGTATGTGAGGTGCTGTGTAACCCTTGTTAAGTCTGGACATCATTTCGTAATATCATTAAATGAAAACTGCAGGTATATAACCCCATTTTGGTGTTAAAAACACATAGAAAATTTAGGCGTAGGAAGAGTCTATAAGGATCCAAGATAAAGTGTTATTAACTGCTGTCTCTTTGGGAAGTGACGTTAGGAATTAACTTTTTCTTTCTTCTCTTTATTTTCCTTTTTGTAATAAGCATGAATAACTTTTATAATAACAATAACCAGATTTTTAAAAAATGTTCCACAGCAACAATATAATCTCAAGATTCAAGAATAATTGTAGCCCTTTTCTAAATCTTCCCTTTGTACACCCTCCTTTCTTCCTTCCCTGCCTCGCCCTTCAATAAACTTGATCACTGGCAGGTAACTGGTATGCAACCCCACCACTCCCAAACAGGAGAGAAAACGAGGCCTTAGGCAAAAAAGGCTTCTGAGCAGCTCAAAGAGGTGTCCCGCTATCCATAAACTAAAACTCATCCATTTGCTCACAGACAAGCACCTCAAACTATCATTATATGTACTTTGTACCCAATTCTAACAGACATTGGTATCTGTGTTCAGGTTCATAGTCAGAAGCAGTTAGATGAGAAGGGGGCTGCCATAGGCAGACAGGGCAGGGAGGCAGGGGGAAGGGGCAGGGCTCGCAGCCCCCCCGGGGGAAAATCCCTACACAAGGCTGCCCAGTGCAGCCAGCAGGGACCCTCCCAATTCCTTAAGGTAGAGTGTGTACCCTCTGCGTCCTTGACAAATCTGGTAGTTGCCCATTTCTAAACCTGGAGCGAGAGCGCAGGAGGGTGCTGCGGAAGCAGACCAGGCTCAGTTATACTCAGGAGAACCACGCCGCCAGTGACCTGGCCTTGGGAAGAAACAGAATGGAGGCACACAGTTAAGGTCATCCATGTGCCAGGTGGGCACCTTAAAATAGAGCTTCAGCATCTTGGTGATACAAACCAGAGTAGGGAATGAGGTTATTTTCTTATCTGTTTCTTCCTACCTTTTCTACTTTCATGTCAATGAGGTGGATTTTATATCTGTCAATATCCTCTGGTTCCAGAATCTGTTAATATCTGATCTTATAACTAAGGAACTTATACAACCCTCTATGTTTTTGTCTCCATGATTCTGAGTATTTTTTTTTCTCCTGGTTTCAAAACATTCCTTAAATTAAAAAAAAAAATTGAAATTGGAGAATAAAGTCTTAACAAACTGTTCTCAGAGGCCCTGTGCTCTTTTCTACTGACCAGTTTTTAAACTCTTCATAAAAGGGGTCTTTAACAAGGCCAAACTTTTAAATATGAATGGAATCAAGTCAAAAGGAGATGAAAGAAATGGCATTCCTGGTGAAAGAGGTCAGATGATTTTCAGACTCCAAAGTGTCCTGATGGTTTTATGTGATCCAGTCCAGCTCCTGAGAAAACCCTGCCAACAGGTAACAACAGGTCTTTGAACGTTTTGATGACAAAGGCTCCAGACCAGCCAGCCCATCCCTTACTAAATTCTCAGTGTTATGAAGAATGAGAAACAGATACTGATGGCACCAACCTGTCTACAAGAACCCAAGGAGGCAAACGTAACTGCCTGTACAAGGAATACAAATCGCCAAGTCCCAAATCATTCATATTTACACTCACTCCATTTTGGCTGTCTTCCCTTTATAATTTGGCCATATGTTGATGTCAAGTGTATAATTTCATCTGAGGCTTTATCAGTTACCACCCAGAGCCATGATTATATGGTGCAGGGAACTTCCTCTCCCTGAGCAAGTCTATCTTTAGTACCTTCTTGGTAGACACTTCTTACATATAAAATAAAAAGGAAAGTCTTGGTTTTCTTCAGTGGCTCCATAAGCACTAAATATAACATTTAGAAGCAATTTACTAACGAAAACCATTGAGTTTTCAGCTGCCACTACAATTTTTCAAAGCAAAGTGTTGTTATTCCTCCCCTTTGCTATTTTTATCAAGTTGCAGTGGACCTTTTAGGGATTCCTTATTTATCTTTCAAACATGTACTAAATTCAGTTTTCATCTTGCTAGGGTCCAACTGCATGAAGATAAGACTGGATTTTGAATAATCAGAATCATAGCAAAAAGGATAAAAGTATCATTTCTGGAAGAAGAAACTTTTTACAAATGACATAAAAATGGCTTTCCAATGTAGGATTCAAAGATAATTTATTAGTCTGAGAAGAGAGTCACACACTATACCCAGTAATATGCTTTTTATTTTTGTGCCTTAATCTTAAAAATATATTTAAACAAGAAACAAACATAATATTGAATTTTCCCATAAATTTCACTTTCTTATTTACAGTGTTACATTGTAAATAACATTCCATCATACACAAATTAAGGACTGTGCATTTCTGTATGTTCTCTTTACATATTCTTTCATAATATAGTACATACAGCTCGAGGATATGCAATATTTAAGCTTAGAAAAGCTTGAGGAAGGAAGTATAAACTTTATCAATAAGACTATTATTTAAAAAGGTTCTGACCTTAATTCTCTGCTAGATTGTTTCACTGAAACCATTCTTTGTTAAAGAAAAATGCCCCATATGAGGGATGAGGATAACAGTTTAAGTTCCCACAGGATCCACTTAAACTGGTTAACAAATAAAAACACTTTATTACTTATTACTGTTACTACATGGAGCACTACCACTGTCAAGCCATTTAAACAAGTAGATTTATTCTTTAGTTCAGACACATTATATCAACGATAGTTGGTTTCTCTTTATGAAATCAAAATGTTTTCTGCAACTTTAGGTTTTACTTGTGAACAGTTAAAGCACACATTTTGTGAAGATGATTTAATCATTCCTGGTCTTAGGTTACACAATTAGGAGGGCTTTCTGTTTCATCAAGGGAGTAGCCAGGATATGCGTGCGCGCGCGCACACACACACAATCCTGCTCACCTGCCAAGGGCCCACGTGTCACTGAGCACAAACTACAGCAGCACTAGTGTCATGAGCGGCGCACAAGGCTGCAACAGGAATTATAAAACAAGGAAGATAAAAGATCTGACTTCATTCAGTTAAAAACCCCAAAAAGCTCAGGTTCAGAAATGCATCTCAGACGCTTCATGCCCAGTCTGACGAGTCAGTTCACTGGGCTTCCAGGCGGCAAACCCCACCTTCGATGGCCACGGACTGTCCTGCCACTGCGCCGGGAGGCAGCCGTGAGATGTGAGTCTGCAGAGATGGAGACAGGAGAACGTTAGAAGTGCCAGCTTTGTCCCCCGATATGACAAAGGCGGAGGAATACCAGAGTGTCGCGGCTCCTTTTTGCTTCTGAACGACTATAGACCACGATGGCAGTGGCCAGAGGTGCCGAGATTGCTTAGAGGAAAACTGTTACTGGGACTGAGGCCAGGGAGCCGTGTGCCCTGTAGGGCTTCACACACAGTGGGCACCAGGTACAGTGGGAGCCGGGATGAGGGGTGACATCAGTTGTGCAAAAGGAGTTTGGCTGGGCTGAGTGTTACAACATTACTCAAAGGAGGCTGGCCCCGAGTGGGAGACCGTAAAAGCTATTCCACAAGGGGTTAGGGTGCCACCCTAGAATAAAAGTCTGGCCTAATCCAAGGATAGATAAAAGTTGGGAGTTTTGAAGTACAGAAGAACTGCATATCCTTTAAGGTAATCTTCTTTAATTCTCTTTCTCTAAACAAGCTAAGGACTGAACCAAGATGGGACTGAGCCCTGGGTGGGGTTGTCAGCACAGCTGGCAGAGTGGTCAAGCCTCAGGTGGGACTGACGTCCTCTCATACAACCAAACATGAAGCGAGCATACGTTTTAGGTGGAGTTAACAGGCAAGCCAATTGGTTTGTAGTCTGAGGGGGACACTATTCTTGAGTCTCACTGCATGAGTCCTGTTAGGGTAGCTGACAGAGTCCACAATTTGGGAAGTTCTAGGAAACAGGGAATGTTCTCTGGGTACTTAGTTTTCCTGTGTGCAAGGCAGGAAGCCACCTATGACCTACAGGGTGAGGTGTGCTGACTTGGGGGTGGAGGGCTGGGTGAGGCAGTCTTTGTGGTATCTCCTGGGTGTGAGAATCATTGACTTCATTCTTGAGGCTCAGGCCTCTGGGAACTGTGTGCCAGAATCTGACCCCATCATTGCTTACGAGGGCCTAACTTAGATCTTACCACATTGATATATTGTACCTGAGACGTTCACAGTTAAGACAAACATGTGGATTTCTTGTTTCTTGTGATGCCTCACTAATTTAGCAGGAAGAGTTAGAAGAGGACCTGTTGTTAAACTCTGCTACCCAGAAGCCCGTAATCCCACAATTCCCAGGTCTCAGTGTTCATAGGTCACTTTTATTTCAGGAATTTGTTAACAAGAGGTAAAAGATCATTTTTTTTTTGCCAGGCATTATTCATCATTTAAAAAAAATGGCACTCATAAATTAAAAAGATCCCTTAGAGAGTAGAAGCCCCTCAGTCAATTTCAACCCTAATCTCACCCCCTTCAGTCCCAAATGGTCATATAGCTATGACAGGGATCAAGAATGAAGCAGAACTGCTGTGGAAAACAGTTTTATATTCTCAAAAAATTAAACATAGAATTATCATAAGATTCAACAATTCCACTTCTAATTATATACCCAAAGCAGGGACTCAAAAAAACATTTGTACACCCATGTTCAAAGCAGCATTATCCACAACAGCCAAAAGGTGAAAGCAACCCAAGCGAACATTAGTGGATAAATAAACAAAATGTGGTACAGACACACAATGGAATATTATGCAGCTTTAAAATGAATGACAATCTGTCACATGCTACAACATGGATAAACTTTGAAGATGTTATGCTAAGTGAAATATGCCAGACACAAAGGACAAACAGTTTATGATTCTACTTACAGAAGGTACCTAAGTGGTCAAATTCATTGCAAGCAGAAGGGTGGTTGCCAGGGGTTGGGGAGGGCAATGGGGAGACATTGTTTAATGGGTACAGAGTTCCACTCTGAGAAGATTAAAAATGGTCTAGAGATAGATGGTGGTGATAGTTGTACAATCTGAAAATACTAAATCCCACTGAACTGTTCATGGAAAAAATGTTAAAATGGTAAATTTTATGTTGTGTATATTTTACAATTAATAAAAAAGCAAAAATGATCATTTCCTACCTGGCCCACAACAGTTCTCCATGAAATAGCATTAAGGGGAGGGGCTAGCTAGGAATGAATGTATAATACAGACCCCCTAGAAAATAACATTAGCACCATAGGGTTCTATTCACAAATACATTGGAATTTTCCAATCAGGTTAGTTAAAATTTCTGCATCCCTAAAAGAGAAGCTCACAGGAAAATCTGTCTTTAGGCTTCCCAGAGATTCAGGAAAAATCCAAAGGGACCACCTGGCAGGCCTGGGGGTCCAGGCACCAGAGGCTACAGAGAATAAATTAATTGTTAAAAGATCAAAGAGTGACCATATGTCCCAGCAGATGGACTGCAACTTGACCAGGGGCATGTAGGTCTTAAAGTAACTGACTTCCTGCCGGCCAAGGAAAAGGCCCAGAACTCGGAGGCAGAATTCCTGTCCCTCAGACCAGGCGGCCTGACAGCAAGCCCTTGAGATTTACAAAGACACAGATGGCCAATCCAAATTTATTTCTAACACTCCCACCCCCACCCAGATTGCAATTGTTCTACTGCAAACTGAGCCAAACCACAAAGTGTCAAAAAGAATTAGAAAGGAAAAGAAAAAAGGATTGGAAAAGGTAGCTATGGTCTTGAGATATTAACAGTACATGGACAAAATACTTAACGCATTGAGATTTGTATAAAAGGTCACATAAAACCCAAGTGCTCAATTAGACAAACTAGTTAAGATTCAATGCTCAGGATTACCCCTTCTCTTAATCATCACCTAGTCAGGGGAGATTTTTTTTGACTACAGAACACATTGTCAGGATCTTGGTGTTGAGAGAAATAAAATGGTTAACCGTCAGTCTAAATGTCCAGACTTCACAGGTTTCATCTATCAACACGGCCCTCTGACTCATCAGAAAACAAATGACCTTGGTCTGAAAAAGTCTGTATGTACCTGAAAAAGCTACGATGTACCTAAAGTTTCCTCTGGAGTTCAATGGGCATCAAATTATGAGCAGTGGGAGCTGTTTAAGAGGATATCTTATATGAATGTTTATCTCTTCAAATTTTTAGAGAAGTGGGTTTGAACTACTCTTGGGTTTAAAAATAGACAACTTTCAATAATGAACTTATATGTCTGCATTTAAAAGTACAACAAAATATTTTATATTGCCTAGGGACTGTGTAGACTCTAGATACCCTGCAAGCACAAGAACTTACCAAGATGTCTTTAAAACCATTTAAGTAGCATTGTACTTTATTGGAATTTAGAACTCACGAGAAATAACACATGGAGATGATAGAAAAAAACCCCAGGAGACTACTGCATTTGGGGCTCTCTCCTCACCTCCTTGTTGCATGCTTCACTCACACACCTCTCCAACTGATTTTATGTAATAATACCCTTTTCTGGTTCTTTCTCAAGGAAGGACTGCCTTAACTGGGGCCCCCAGCCCCAACCCAGAAGCTCTCTTTCTGACTCCTAAGCACCCTTGGGAGCATTTCTCATTCTGTGACATAACTGTCTAGGTTTGGGCTTGTTTTGAGTGTTTAGGTCTCTAACTGAAAGTCAACTGGAGGCAAAAGCCTGTCTTACACTCACCTCTGTACTCCTTGCACTTGTCAAAGTACTTGACACAGAAGGTACTGGAAATGCTCACTGAGTGAAGTACTATAATATATCCTCCAGGGCTAAGTTTAGGAACACAATGAGTCTCAAGTGTTTTAATTAGTGTGACTAAACAGCTTGGTTAAAAAAATCATTCAAACTAGTTTGTCAAAGACCCTTTCTAAACAGATGTTTTTTTAAAGTACAGACTGACTAAATTTTTCCACTTTCCAAATGACTGTGTTGTTAGAATAGAGATAGAACTTCAGATTTTTCAGAAGCTAACAGCTCCACAACAATAGAACCCAACGGCCTTGTAGTTAAAATTCTCTGCTTTTTTGCCAATTCCTTGAGTGGCATAATCTCATCCTTGAAGTTAACACTCAGAGAATATCAACTTATAAATTATACTGACTATTCGAAGCCAAAAGTTTTAGGCTACATTTCTTTATAGAGCGAAATACACTGTATAATAACAAATTTAGTCTGAAGATTTCAAAATAAGATCAAAGTAAGAAAAATTATATAAATTATATAATTACTGATGTCCTAATCACAATCTAATAGCCGAGACTTTCTATCATTCATACTCATGTCTTAAAATCTTTTAAGACCACCTTAGTGACTGATCTTTTGTGGTTTCTAAGAAAACTACAAGTACATAATTTAAAGCCTCAAAGCCTTTATTTAGTGGTTATATTTAAATCCATCTTTCCACTCTTAGGAGAATTGCTTGAGATCTGCCGTAAGAGTCAAAGGAAGATTCTCTTAAACAAGCTATTATCCTCTTTTGGTGGGGTCAGAAAAATAAAATCTAGATAGACACAGTCCAAAAGAAGCTCTTGGAAATACTTTATTCATTGGTTTCATAATTCTGAGGGTTTGGTTTTCTGTTTTTAAAAAATATACAGAGCTTGAAGCAAGGTAACGGACAGTCAAAGCATACAGGCATTTACAAATAGAACAAATGACAGTGAAAAAGAACACTGTGCCATGGAGAGACAAAAATTGTACTTCAAAACAGGGAGGAGATGTTTTCATCAACCAGTGGTTTAAAAAAATGCATTTAGCATACCACATATTATTCCAATTCTAAACAATCTACAGAGGCAGTTTATCGTAATGGCTATGTGCATTGATTACAGAATCAGAGCACTTTGGGCTCTGGACCATTTCCTCTTCTTCATGGACACACTGCTGGACTACATTTCTCAGCTTCTTTTCCAGTTGTGTGGCTATATAACTGAAATCAGGCCAATGGACTAAAGTGATAGGTGCCATTACCAGGCCTGGCAGAAAACCTTAGGAACCATTCTCCATGTTCTTTCTCTGACAATTGTGAGGCCTTTGTGAGGTAATATTGAATCACAACTTGGAGGAGAGCCTTCTGCTAATCAGAAACCCCAATTTGGATTTTATGTGAATGAGAAACATACTTACGGTGTTTGAGCAACTATATATTTGGGGGTTTGCTTGTT